CAACAGCAGCGTATAATGGGTCTTAACACTATAGGCAATATTCTTCTTAAGGTACAAAGTAAATACAATAAATAAATATGTGTTTGTTGAAAAACTAGATTTCTATCTATATTAGTATTTTGTTATATTTTCAGGCCAAACTTGGAATCTATGACAATGTTCTCCAACAAAATATTCTAAAAGAATTACTAGATGCAGGAATATTCCTTTTACTTCGCTTTTCAATGGATGACTTAAGTCCTGCTGTTGTTTTCACCGCATTATCAGCAATGAGAAATCTGTTGTTTAGTGAGCCTGATGAGGTAATCCAAAATTTCTGATTATCACATCAGATAAAATTATAGTTCTCTGTAACAAATTTACCCATTAATATATTTTCATTTTCAATATTTTATTTTTTCTAGGCTAGTTTAGATTATTACCTTGGTTGTGAAGGGAGCCTTCAACAACCCTTACTTGATGTACCATATGAAGACAATGATGCCAAGAAAATTCAGGAACAAAAGGAGCAAGAGGCTGAACTGAAAGATTTTGAAATAATTCAACTAGATGTCTTAAGAGGAGCCGAAAGAACAAACCTCATTGTTCGTCTGGGTTATATTCTTGACGTTCTTAAAGGACCACCTGATGTAGTTGTTGATGTGCTTCTTAGAATAGCTCGACATTCCCGGGTATTAGCTGAAACTATCGTAAGCTGTGGAGGCCTTCTGCGAACTGTGCGTGACCAACTTTTAACCTCTCATGGTGATCAGCAGACTTAATACATATGCAAATAATTATCAAATTACAAAAATTTTAAAGCTACTTTTCCCCACAGTTGTGTCATCTTTAGCTGCAGGATTTGGGCAACCTGGCTATGGTGAACCAAGTTCAAAGGCATTAAGGTTGATGCGTGTTCTTGCTGCTCACAGCCGCACTATAGCAAACACTCTTTTGGATAAATTCAACATAATGGAGCCTGTGATGACATATGTTAGTATGAGGTAAGTTTTGGTTCTCAACAGCTCTGAAATCATTTCTTAGTACTTTACAAACTGACATATGCAATTTTTGGCTAGCTCGCCAGAGTTGCCTCAAATCCAGGGCTTGGTAATTCATGGTTACTACTTATGGCAGACCCTCATGAGTTATGGATTAGCATCCCAGAGTATTCTGTGAGTGTTCGTTTTGTCTTCTTTCTAACAATGTGTGGTATGATAATACTGTTTTGCATTGCAGTCTAATTATTTGCAGTCTAATTACCTAGGTATCATTTTTTTCTAGGGACTTGTTTCCGATTTTGATGAGACAACTTCATTTTCATGTTCAATTAACCTCTGCCGTTGGAGAAGAGGCAACACCTTCCGGGCACGAACTTGCTACTGCTCTTATTGGAGTCATTGAAAAAGCTTGTTACATTATATCATCAGACCGGAATATTCTTGAGCCTAAACCCATCTTTCAGTTAGCCAAGCTAGTAGCAGACTGCTTACGTAAATGGCTAACACAGCTTTCATTATATACTTCAGAAAAGCCATTGGTATACTACAAGTTGCTTTTTTCTACCATTAATTGTAAAAATGTACACCCATCCTTGTTTAAAATTTGAAATGTAGGTACTATTATTGACTTGTCTGTTTTCATTTTAGTGGTCCTGTACAAAAATGGTTGGGTCTGCTTTCAATTGCTTAGCAGCAGTTGCAAATTGTGCCAAAGATCAGGTGTGGACTTGCAGTGTTTGAAAAGTCTCCATTAATATAGAAAATGATAACATATCTAACTTTATCAAATTTATTTCAGGACTCAATGGAATCTAAAAGTATTTTAGAAAAAATAGAAAATCTTACTTATGATGCTGTAATTCCTTTTCTAAGCAGTCCATGCTTGCAAACTCTCCTTGAAAATTTAATGTAGGTGCCATACATGACCATGATTATTCCACTTTTGTGTGTTTAATTGTTTGATTTAATTTAAAACCCTTTTTTTATGTCAGACCATCCTCACATTTTTTAAATACTGAGGAAGCAGGAACAAAGAGGGATCCCGCTAACCTTCCTTCCCTCGGAGCCATGCAGTGGGGTGGAGAAAGCCTTTCACCTTGCCTGCTGCCTGAGGCCCCACATCCATTGTTCTCAGGATTACTGCGTTTCATAGCGACATTTTATGGAGTAATTGGTTCATCATCTAATAAGGTACCAGCTGCCCTTTACGCTTTGAAATATTTTAGTATTTCTTTTACTAACCATATGATGGTTTTTTTAATTCTTCCCCAGCTCCAGTCACTTTTGTTAGATAGCGTTGCTCTGGAAAGATATATTGAAGCACTTGTTGTGAAGCCTTTGCGTAGTTCAAATCATTGGTTTTGCCGTCAAGAAGTGTATATGCTTCATCATCTTATTGCTCTCATTGTGCTGCAACCAGCATTAGTTCCACCTAAAAATAAGGCAGGTTTCATAAATTTATTGCAAATTCGATTTAAAAAAACTTTGCATTTATAATGTGCCTAATTCTTAATAGGTGATGTACTCTCAACTTGCTTTAAGATTGGTGGACTTGATTCAAGCAAATGATAAACATCTTATTACAAGCCTCCTTCCATCAACTGTTTTCAGCTCAGAATTCATGAGGCAAGTGTTTGAACTTACATTCATATTTTTTTTTCCTGATCATTTATTATAAAACCTAAAAAAGACATACCGGTAATCGACCGGTTATACTAAACTTTGCTGTCTTTCTCAAGATGGGGAATGGACTCAGTTCCTTTGGAAACAAAAGACAATGATCTTATTGAAGAATGCTTAAAAAGGTACACTCTTCAAAGAAAAAATATCTACCTATATTGGTCATTTTAGATTGCTTTATTGTCATTATTTTTAAATCTTTTCCAGATTGCCTGTAACCGGTTCTCTTTACCTGGACATGCTTGGTGTACGCTTCTCCAAAGTTCCCTCTCCATCACAACGAATTAGTCTCACATCTCTTTCTAAAGGCACAGACCCAGCACTCCCTGTCGATTGGCCTTTTGCTCCACTATTACTATTTTATGGCCAGTATAATGCTCAGTAAGAAATTAATTTTTTTAGTGCCTTACCTATTGTAAAGTGTAAATGCTTTCATCAATTATGCCCTGAATTATTTATCTCTGATTTTAGGAATAGGTCAAGATGTTCAGAGCAACACACTATAGAAATGGTGACAGATACACTAAAATTCTTGTATTTAACTGAAACATTGTGGCCGAAGTCCAGAAGACCTCTGTCTGTTACAGCTAGGTGGTGTCGCCTAGCCCTTGTATTCTTAGCTGGTGAGGACATCCTCCTTCTGTAATAAATTTTATTAGTGTTTTATTATAATTAATGTGTTTTTGTTTTTTTTAAGGTTCAGATTTGTTTTTAGATGAAAATGTGAGTAGGTACTTGAAAAAGAATCTAGATCAACTCCTTTTGCAGCGCACTAAGTTAGATTTCAGTGAGAAAATACCTGGGTTATCATCTTTCTATGACCTGTATGTTGTCTTGTTTTGGGTTTTTGCTGTATTTTTATTGTTAAGATACTTGCCATATAAAAATTATCTATGTGTTTATTGTCAGGTATGGAGAATTACTACTTCAGTTTGCTGCTGTTTCATATGGTGATGAACTATTTGGTGCTTTCCTTCTACTGCCTCTGCAGCAGAGGCAAGACCCGCAGCTTCGAAGAATGGTGTGGGGAGAAAATGCAGTTGTTCTTCGATCATTATCAACTCCTATTTGTAAGGTAAGGAATAGAAAAAGTAAGAAATTAAAACATAAGTTATGAGATATAATTTTTACTAATAATGTTCAATAGTATCCATGCACTGACAATTTATATTCTACATCAGGTGGGTGTTCCCTTAGAAGAGTACCTAGAACCTTGTGAAAGAGATACTTCACTTCTTTCAGCTTATGTGGTATCAATAGCCAGAGGTAAGTTATGCAATATCTATCTGAAATGAAGAGTTTATAACATACAAAAGAAAATATGACTAAGCATAGTTTACTTTTTTCCAGGTCATGTAAATGAAAGACGTTGTCCTGTGCTCTATCGTGTGGCAGTCCATCATGTTGCTACTTTTACTAGCTTACACAAAGACCATCCTTTTGCTATTTCTCTTCAAAAACAAATTTATAACCTAGGAAACAAGGTAAATTATTGAGTCATGTAGCCCAACTAGTTACATTCAATGCTGATGCTTCATTTTTAAATAATTATATCTATTAATTAATTTATTTTCTTTCCACGCACAGAAAATTCAAGATTTATTTCTGAAGTACCCAGCTAGTCTGCAGCAGACCTGATTGTCTTTATTATTATTTTTTGTCAGAGTTGCTGCTGTTTATCATAAGTGTAATATTTTATTAAACCTGTAACATTCTTATCTAAGCAACTTTGTCTTGGTCTCATTTTCCCCCTGCAATGGAATGAGATGCCCCTGAAGTGCTGCATGTTGCGTTGCCACTCGCCGATCGTTATACAGTAGCGGTAGCGGGCACAGTAGAACACTCAGGGCCGGTCTGGCTGCAGAAGGGAGATTACTTCAAGTGGCTCCCTGCCCTCCCCGCCCCGCTCTCCCGCGACTGCTGTGCACTGCTTCGACTGCACATCGGCAACCACTCACCAAACTCGAGCTCATGGGAACGCAAATAAAAGAAAATGAATTAGCTCAGCACGGGCATTCGGAAATCTGCTATGACTTCTTGCCGCTTCCTTCAGCCGAAGAAAGCACTGACTCTAGACCTATCCTTACATAGGCCCGGAAGGTAGCAACAGTTTGCGGACGGTCCCTTCGGACTCCGCGCCGTGGCTCCTCGACGGCCCCCGCAACAATGCACCCCGCGAGAGGCGCAACCCCGGCGACAGAGCAGAGCCGCCACGCCCCGCCACTCCGCGCTGAGAAGTCCAAGAGCGCGGACCGCCACCAGCCCCTACCGCCCCCGGTCCTGCTGGTCCTCCGGCCCCGGCTGCCCCCGCAGAGAGTGACCGCTCTCCCCACTCCCTAGCCCCCACACCCCCTCCCCCTTCTCTTCGACTCCAACTCTTCCTCCCCCACCGACCATGAGGGAAATCTGCCACCTGCAGGCGGGCCAGTGCGGCAACCAGATCGGCGCCAAGGTACTTAAGCACCGGGTCCCGGGTCGGCCGCCAACCCGCGCCATATTTGTCACCCGGAAGACTCGCTCAACCACCTCCGCTTGACCTCTGCTTGCAGTTCTGGGAGGTCATCTCGGACGAGCACGGCATTGACCCCACCGGCACCTACCATGGCGACTCCGACCTGCAGCTCGAGCGCATCAATGTGTACTACAACGAGGCTACAGGTGCGCCGCCCTTATCCCCTGCCGCTACAGGCGCCCCCCCCCCCTTTTCCCTCCCCTCTAACGTAAGACGTGTCCGTCAGGCGGCAAGTACGTCCCCCGGGCCGTCATGATCGACCTGGAGCCCGGCACCATGGACTCGATCCGCTCCGGCCCCTTCGGCCAGATCTTCCGGCCGGACAACTTCGTGTTCGGCCAGGGCGGCGCGGGCAACAACTGGGCCAAGGGCCACTACACGGAGGGCGCCGAGCTCGTGGACGCCGTGCTGGACGTGGTCCGGAAGGAGGCCGAGGGCTGCGACTGCCTGCAGGTACGTGCGGGACAGCTCACACATCGGCTCACTCACATCCCTTCGGCCCGGACAATAATCGCGGCCGGAAGCGCGCCCGCCCCGCCCCTTCAGCCCGTCCGTCATGGGCGGTCGTGGTCCCGCCCCGCCTCCCTGCGGTGGTGCGGCTTATCGCCCGGTAGCCTCTGGCAGCCCGCAGCTTGGGCCTGGCAGCCACACTTCCTGACAAGCTATCGCTGGGAGCCCCGCCGAATATCCGCGGCGATGGGGACCGGGCCAGCCTGCCGCTGTGGGGCGGGCGGGGGGCGGGGGGTGAAAGCGGGGTGGGGCGGGCGCGGGGCGGGCGTTGCTGGCTCTGAAATAATTTGATAAGCGAGCGACATACGCCACACAACAGAGCCACAAATTTGTTCTGACGCTTTGAAAAAATAAAAAATAGTTATATGTGTGGGTTGGTTGAAGTGGCTTGTGAGAGTACGAATTATAGGGAGGAAATTGAGCCGCGGCAGCGGGCGACCTTATCATATGACCAATTTTTCCTCATCGGCCGCGAATGGTTCTGGTTGCAGGGCTTTCAGATGACGCACTCGCTGGGCGGCGGCACCGGATCCGGCATGGGCACGCTGACAATCTCGAAGATCAGAGAGGAGTACCCCGACAGGATCATGAACACGCACTCCATCGTGCCCTCCCCCAAGGTATTCGCACCGTCGCGGTCTCGCCGAATGGCGGTCGGGTCGGGACTCAAACTCACCTTGGCTTACGGCTCGCCCTGCAGGTGTCCGACGTGGTCGTGGAGCCGTACAACTGCACGCTGTCGGTGCACCAGCTGGTCGAGAACACGGACGAGACGTACTGCATCGACAACG